CCTATTCCTTTCCTCAATCTACACTCCCCCTTCCAGGTATGAATGCAGGCAACAACATATATGAACTACATGTTTGCCAGACCTGGTGGTACGACCTTGTAAGCCCAGCTAGGGAGGCTGGGGTAAGAGGATGGAGAGTGCAAGGCCTGCCTGGGCAATAGAAATTGAAAAGAGGACTGAGGATGGAAGTTAGTGATTTAGTGCTTGCCTGTCAATCATGAAGCCCTAGATTCAATGCCAGTACTAGAATTTACAGGCTTTATTATTTGCTTATTATTTTGAGTCAGGGTCTCTCCATGTAGCCCTGGTTGTCATGGAACTGCTATGTAGATTAGGCGGGCCTTGAACTCATAGAGAAATGCCTGCCTGTGACTCTCAAGTGCTGAGATAAAGGTATGTGCCACCACACCAGGCCTATTTTTTGAAATCTGAAAGAATGCGGAGAGGGAATGCTTGTAAGAACTATTATAAGCCCACTCTCTGAAGCCTTTCTTTGTATATAGTGAAGCTACAAAGGACATAGACAAGAAAGGAGGAATAAAGCATGGCCTTCAAATTCAGCTTATCTCATCTGATTTGAAGTTAAGTGTCCCCGCCTACCAGTTGTGAAGGGAGGTGTCCCTGCCTATGTGCCGCTTTTTTGGCTCACTCAGTTAGTAGTCTGTCTATTTAGGTACTTAAGCAATGTGGCTTTAATTAAATGTCATGCTTTTGTCAAATGTCTTAGGTTGCTAGTGGGTACAGGAGAGCCATCCTTGTTGACCCAGCACAGGGAGTTCAAGAGATGAGCGCAAGCATCCCTCCTGCCTGTGCAAGGCAGGTCAGCAAGACCTCTTTTGTGGGAACAGGGTGTTGCTGACCTTCCTCTTCCCACACACAGGCTCCTTGCCAGCTGAGGCCTTCTGGGCTGTGCAGGAAGTTCCCCCACAGGCCATGTCTGGGATTCACAGTTCCATTGGCCTTTTGTCCGCCCTGTGTCCACCCAGTGCCCACCCTGTGTCCACCCAGTGCCTACTCCTTCCGCTGTGTCCTGGAACAGAAAGGGTGCCCTTAGAACCTGTCTGGAGTGTTTGGAAGAGCTGCTTCCCAGCCTCTGCATCTGTGCCAGTTCTTTTCAGACTCACTGTAGAACTGATCCAGGCCCTTATGGTCTCCATGAGGGTGGCCTCCCTGCCAGCAGAAAACAGTAAAAGAAACACTACCAGAGAAGGGTCCAGGAAGAGGAAGTTAAGAGTGCTCACCCATGGCCTTCTTCACATTTGAATTTGCGTTATGGGTATGTTGGGGTGGAGAGCCACCTCAGCTCATCATAGTGACTTGCTCAGACTTGGATTTCTAAAGATGGGTAGGACAGGGATTAGAAGGAGGGAGGACTTGGATGTCTAAGAAGCACTAGCAATGGGTTGTCTGAAGTAGTGTGGGGGAGGGGGAGTTGGCTGGAATTGGAGAGGGCAGCCATACTGGGCAGGGACTGCTGTCCTGTGGATGTACACAGAGGCAGGCAGATAGCAGCTGCACTGTGGATGCTTGCAGGCTCTCCAGACTCCTGGGGAAAATCTGGATGCTGGAGGAGGAGCTAGACTTGGGAGAGAGGGTTGTGGGAGTTGCTGGGATGAGGGAAAAGCCCAAAGGCATGCTGTAGAGGCAATTTTTTCAAAGTTCTCAAAGTAGCAGACCCTTCTGTGACTGATCACTGAAGAGAATGTAACACCTGCAATCTTGTGGCAAATGAAAGCTAATGTGGGAAGTCCAGAGCCACTGTACCAAAGACCTGTGGGTGCTGGCAGAACTACAGAGAAAACCAGATCACTGCTAGGCAGGGAGTAGCCACTAATAGCCAGATAAGATTGCCCACAGTCAGGGGAGTTTTGAGGAGACATGTTTATGTTTGAGATGGGGTCTTTGCTGCCTGGACTGGCCTCATTCTTAGTCTTCTTGCCTCAGTCTCCAAGAAAGCAGGAGTATAGGTGTGTGTTGCTGGGCTCAGAGAGTATTCTGGCAATATATGTCAAAAATTTTATAAAGCCTTTGACCCAGAATTCCCCCTGGTAGGACATTCTCTTTCTAGAATACTTTTGCAGTTATGTAAAGATGTCCATTGCTATTTTGATGAATTGCAAGCATTCCAGATAATTAAATAATTTCACAATGTAATCAAGTGGATATTAATATGAAAGACCTCTAATGTGGATTAAAAGACAAGAATGGGAACCACATTTGTTATATTTCAGAATAACATGTATACACAGGTTGTATGTTATTGCACATTTTGAGATGATCCACATAACAAGTTTGCATTGTATGCTAACACAGGTCTCTCTGAGACTTGGGACTAAAAGGTCTTCCCTTTTCTAAGCCTTGATATCTATCACTTTGATAGATCTATCTATCTCCCCTCCAACATGTACTAATATTTAAGAGGAACATTTGATCTGGGGCCAAGAAAGCCCCTGGAGTCTGACTAGAGGTAGGAAAGGCTGTGGATAGAGAGGACCGAGGGGCCCTAGTCCCAGGGCTGATTAGCAGGTGGGACATGCTTCTGAGGAGGACAGAAGTTTAATGGGGGTCGATGTAGGCAGCTAGGTGAAGTTACCCAAAGGTGAGGAGAGTGACTGTGGGGTTTGAGAGGAGGCTGGCCTGCTGACCCATGGCCTCCCCTTGTTTCTGCCTTGCTGGAGTACACACTGCTCACTTGTTGCCAGTTTGCTTCTGTGCAAAAAAGAAATTGGGGGAAATCAGGACATGTTCTTAGATGCACCCATCATTCCTAGGCTTTTGTTCAAGAGTCTGGGACTCGTGCCTGAATGCCTATGATGGCTGCTAGGAGGATGCTCTGCTCTTCATGCCCCCGTGGCCATAGGATTTCTGCCCACTCTTTAAGAAGGCACTGTAGACGGAACCATGGTGCTCTAACTTTGTCTTTGTTTGTATGGTTTCCATCGTTCCTGACCTAGTCTCTCTCTTTTTCCCTTCTAAAGTTGGATGGTGACTAACGTTGAGCACAAAGGCAGGCCCATTTAGAGCTTTCGACTTTTATTCCCTCACTATCAAGCCTGACCCTTTTCTTTAGGCCTGGGGATTTCATAGTCATGCTGGCATAACAGGTTCCCAAATAGAGTGTTTTCCTCACCCCAGGACTTCTGTGCTATTTACCACTACCAACTAGGGCAGGTGAACAGCCTGAGGCCTGCAGCCCAAGGCCTCCAGGCACCTTTCCCTATGGTTTGAAGTCTCCCCACTCCCCCTGCCAAAGTTCACCTGGTAAAGAACAGTGTCTGGAGTTTGGAGGGTTTCAGAAGACAGCATCTTCCACATGGCCCACACTTTCCTTTCTAAATTCCAGCTTCTTTGGGACTGGTTAGGTTTGCTTCAAGAACTATATTATTATAAACCTCCCTCCATGTTTTAATTTTGTGGGTTTTGTTGTTGTTTGTTTTTTACTCTAACTTCTAAACTTGTGTTGTGAGCCAGTTTTCTTTCTTTAAAAAAGTTTTATTTATTACATATACAGCGTTCCACCTGTATGTTTGCCTGCAGATCAGAAGAGAATACCAGATAACGTTACAGATAGTTGTGAGCCACCATGTGGTTTCTGGGAATTGAACTCAGGACCTCTGGATGAGCAACCAGTGCTCTTAACCTCTGAGCCATCTCTCCAGCCTCCTATTTTAAATTCTGACACCTGATCAGTGGCAGTCTTCAGTGTCTGTGCTCTGAGCTGGGGCTTGTTCCAAAGCTTATGCTTCCTGGCTTCCAGACAGTGATTCCTTTTTTTCTCAGGGTTTTCTTTTGGGAGGAGTTACTTTTTCAAGACTTGGCTTCTCTGTGTAACGACTCTGGCTGTATTGAGACTTGCTTTGTAGACCAAGCTGTCCTTGAACTCACAGAGATCCATCTGCCTCTGTCTCCCAAATGCTGGGACCAAGGGTATGCGCCACCACCGCCCAGCTGATCTTAGGATCTTTATTCTTTTGCTTTTGGTTTGTTGTCAGGAGTGGGGATTTTTGCAGTGGATCACAGCTGTGAAAGGACATGAATGATCTGCCTTCAAAATGGACTTGACCCAGAAGAAGGCATTTGCAGAATCATGGTAGAAGAGAGCATATGTCTGTTGAAGAATTTCAGTGACTTGTAGCTGAGTTAAATTCATGACTAGCTCTATGGGAATTCATTTTTATGTTAACTAAAGTCTAACCCAGTACCATACCTCAGTGAAATGAAGGTCCTGCTAGCTCAGAGTCTCCTGGTTGGCCTAGAAATGGCTTAGATCAGGTGGAGTGGAGTATGCCATCAAGTTTGTTTTTTGTTTTGGGTAGTGATCTGCTGGTGATTGGTAATGGTGTATTCATTTAGCATGGCTGTGGCCATGCTTTCCAGGCATTCACTCTTTTGACAGGTGGTGTTTTGAAAACTTAATTTGTATATTGTATGTGCATGTGTGTGGTAGGGAGGCTACAAGAGGGTACTTGGGGTGCCTTGCTGTATCACTCTTCACTGTATTCCCTTGCATAGAACTGAGGCTTGCTATTTTGGCTCATTGGCTTCTGGGATCTGCCTCTTTATGCACCCCACCCCTACCTGAGCTGGGCTTATAGACACTTGTGCCCCTGCTTTTACATGGGCGGTAAGGCTCCAAACTCAAGTTGTCATACTTGTACAAGCGTTCTTATCCACAATTAGTTCTTGAGCATAGTGTTCTATGTATAGGGCCAGACCAGCGAGACACCTGTGATGAAGCAAGCTCAGTCCTTGCCCTCAGGGGAGCAAGAGTATAAGTATCTGATTTGTCAAGTGTGCTAGTCAAGGGAATGTTTTTATGGTCTAACTTAAAGCTAAGGAAAAAAACCAAAATAAACAAAAAGACCAAACCCTGTCTTTTGGGATAGGCAACCTAGTCAGGGGACAGACATGTCAAACAACATTCTGAAAGGTATCAGAGAGTATCAAAGGAAGCCATTGTAGAGATGAGCTGCACCTGCTAACTGACTGCCTTCTACCCCCCACCCCTTGCTGCCCATAGCATGGACAAGGACAGCCCAGATCTCCACCAGGACCTGAATGCTCTCAAAACAAAGTTCCAGGAGATGCGGAAGCTCATAGGCACCATGCCTGGCATCCACATGAGTCCTGAGCAGCAACAGCAGCAGCTTCACAGCCTCCGGGAGCAAGTCAGGACCAAGAATGAGCTTCTGCAGAAGTACAAGAGCCTCTGCATGTTTGAGATCCCCAAGGAGTAGGACCAACTCCCAGGACAGCTGCCAAAGAACTGAGAACTTCACACCTGTGCTGTCCATCTCCTTGGGAGCCCAGCTCTAAACTGGGAGGCCACATATGGCTGTTATGGGGCCTCAGTGGCTGTACTCAGCCTTGATTAGCTACGCTCTGGTCCCATCAACAGATCTGGAGGGCACAGAAGGAGAGGAGGTGGCTGTTCCCTTCTTTCCTTTGGCTCCTCCCACTCCCCATATCATCAGTGCATATCTGGTACATACTGTTCCTGTTAACAGCAGTTTCATGAAGCATTTGCATAGAATTCATGGGATAAATTAGACCTGCACTCAGATGGCATGGATTTAATATAATTTTTAAAGAAGGCTGGGAGAGTGTGAACATTGTTTTGAAAGGCCAGAGGGTGGGTGGCTTCTCCCCCAAAACTGTTCACTTCCTTTTTTGTTTGAGCTACTGAATGAAACTGTATCTCTGAGGCGTCATCCCAGAGCCCTGCCAGCCAGCCACCAACTCCAGTTTCCAGCCTCCTGCACACTAGCCTTATAGGCTCTTGCTCCCTTTATCTCCATCACTCCAGGCAGTGCTCAGAATAGCCAAAGCACTGCTTGCCTGGGGCCTTTTGTCCTTCCCACGCTGGCTCAAAAAGGCTGTTGAGCAAGCAGCTCTGCCCTGATTCATAGGCCCTGGCTTGCTTTGTCATCTCCTCTCTAACCAGGGAGTCAGCCATATTTGCTACCCTGCACATGGTCCCTGCACACTTCTGGTTTAGAGCAGAGTGGCTGGAGGGAGAAATCAGGGTGGTTCCTCAGCCAGGTGTGTGTGTCGTGAGAGTCAGGTCTGTAGGGCAGGGGTAGCTAAGCCTGGAGGTTCTATAGCTGTGTGCTAGTTGTAGAGTGTGCTCTGCTAGTCCCACGTGGGACTGTCACACTGAGGGCAGGGTGGCCCTTCGTCCTCTCAGGAGTAAGGTGGGAAGTACCCAGTATTGTTTAGATCTTGAAATGGGCACGGTCTGGGCTGACCAGTGTAAGACTTAGCAGGTGCCTGCCAGCTGGCCTTGTTGGCAGGAGTACTGGCTGGGAACGTTTTTAGCAGGGGTTCTGGTGGCATTGTCTATCCAAGATGCCTCACAGTTGGGCCTGGGATGTGTGAAAGAGGGTGTTGAGTTCCAGTGGTTTGGACAGAAAAGTGGGCTCTGAGTTTGAGATGCAGGAGCTTCAGATCCTCCTGCTAGGCAGAGACAGAAGGCTCCTTAGAGGGCCAAAGGGGATGGAATCTTCTTTGCTCCAGTGTGCTGACCTGTCACATTTGCAGATACGGAATTAAAAGTGTGCTCTACTCTCAGGATACAGGGTTTGCCTACTGTCTTTTTTTTTTCAACAGTGCTAGGAGTCAAACCCTGGGAGTGCAGGTTTTATAATAAAAAATTAGAAGGGAGTGTTGGTTAGGCAGTGTAGAGGCAAAATGTTCTCTGTGCTCCTTCCCCCACCCAGCATGTGTACCCATTAAACTGCATAAAAGCCTGCATGTCTCCTGCAGGGGACCCTGGGCAACCCAGCCATCCATTGTTGAGAAGTGAATGCCTTTCTGTGATTTGAGAGGCACAGTTCCTTGGAAGTGGCCCTTCCTAAAGCAGGATTGAAGTCCTACCCCCAGGACAATCTTGAACATCCCTTGAAGCTCAAGACCCTCTTGAAAACCACCAGATACTTGGTTCATGGGTACAGCAGTTGTGCTGAGACTGAGACACTTTCATGAACACCCCTCCCCCCCCCCCCCCCCCCACCCCAACCCCTCTGTTTCTCAGCTGAAGAATTAGAGATTAGAGGCTTGGGAGGTGAGGCCTGCCCCCAGTTCCCAGGAATGGTGAGATCTGGGCCACAAGCCATGATCCCTTGGCCACAGAGGGAGACAGCAAAGTGCAGAGGAGATGGGCCTCACCTGGTGAGTGCTTCTGGGGGCTA